TAGTATAACTTTAGGTCAGGGATTGTGATTCCACCTGACTTGTCTTTGTTGTCCAGGATTGCTTTTATTATTCTGGGTCTCTTCTGGTTCCAGGTGAATTTAAGGACTGTTTTCTCTAGATCTGCATGGTGTGCTAATGGTACTTTAATGGGAATTGCATTGATACTGTACAGCAGTTTTGGGAGTATGGCCATTTTCACAATGTTGGATCTTCCTATCCATGAGCAAGGAATATTTTTCCACTTACTGAAATCCTCTTCAATCTCTTTTTTTTCAGAGTACTGTAGTTTTCATTGAATAGATCTTTTACTTCTTTTGTTAGATTGATTCTTAAATATTTCAGTTTCCTGGATGCTATTGTAAAAGGTATGGTTTCCTTAATTTCTCTCTCAGCCTGTTTGTTGTTTGTGTATAGGAATGTTATTGATTTTGGGGTGGTGACTTTGTATCCAGCTACACTGCTGAATTTGTTGATTAATTCAAGGAGTCTTCTTGTGGAGTTTTTGGAGCCTTCCATGTAAAGTATCATGTCATCTGTAAATAGCGATAGTTTTACTTCTTCCTTTCCTATCCTTATTCTTTTATTTCTCTCTCTTGTCTAATTGCTCTGGCTAATATTTACAGAAGAATATTTAATAGGAGTGGTGACAGTGGACATCCTTGTTCTTGATTTTGAAGTGAAAGCTTTCAGTTTTTGTCCATTTAGTATGAGGTTGGCTGTTGGTTAGCCATAGATGGTTTTGATCAGATTGAGGTAAAGACCATCTTTTCCTATTTTCTGTAGGGTTTTTATCATGAATGCATGTTGCAATTTGTTGAAATCTTTTTCTGCATCTATTGAGATGATCCTGTGGTTACTGTCTTTGGGTCTATTGATATGGTGCATAACATTTATTGATTTGCGAATATTGAACCACACCTGCATTCCTGGAATGAATCCGCCTTGGTCATGGTGCATGATTTTTTTGATGATTTGCTGCATTCTATTTGCTAGTATTTTACTGAGTATCTTTGCATCTGCATTCATTAGGGAGACTGGTCTGTAGTTCTCTTTCTTGGTTGAATCTTTCTCTGATTTTGGTATCAGTATACTTGCCTCCAGAAATGAGTTAGGCAGAATTGTTTCCATTTCAATTTCACTGAAGAGTTTGAGGAGTGTTGATATTAAATCTTCACTGAATTTCTTGTAAAATTCTGCTGTGACTCCATCAGGGCCTGGGCTTTTCTTTGTTGGTAGGTTTTTAAATCACATTTTCAATCTCATTAATTGATATTGGGTTGTTCAGCATTTTTATATCTTCTTAAGTCAACCTTGGTAATTT